CCCCAAAACCCCAAAACCCCAAAACCCCAAAACCCCTTTCAATCGCACTTCAGTTGAAATATTTTATTCAGTATAATCCATCCCATAGGGCTGTTGGGAGGAGTAGTGCTTGTGTGACTCAAAAGAGCCATTGAACTTCTGTATTCCATCATAAACTGTATTTCTACCTTTCTTTATAGAGCTCTTACTCTTAGTTTTATGTCTGTTTTTCTAAAATTATTAACATTAATACATACATTTCTCTTTATCTTCGCTGAATTAATTTGGGTGAGAAGCTGGTTCAGAAGAATCAGCTCGTTTTTAGAATTGTGAACAGGCTTTGTATTTTCGATTTCAGATTTACCCTCTGAAGAAAATGTAGTCAGAACCTGTTCATGGCACTTCCATGGGTGAATATTAGACCTTCAGCTGCTCATATATTCCTGATTTGATAGTTCCTGAGGAGGGTTTTTGCATACAGAATGATCTATTTTATTCAAATTAAGTATCTTCATATTCTCCTGGTTCTCATATTGGGATAGCTTAGTGATGTAAATTTTTATTCTATCATCTTTCTTACGAAGTTCTTCATTCTTAGACTCTAAGGTTTCAGAAAGTCTAGTATTTTCCTAAAATTATTATGAAATTAATACATTTTGGAGCTTGAGTATGATCCTATCTCTTTCCTGAATCTGCTTAAGATGAGTTTCTTTCTGGGTTTCATACTGTCTTCGCATCTCAACTCCCTCAATTCTAAATTTAATTGCCAAGATTACTTATGTAGTCTGTTTTCATGAAGCTGGGGTGAAGAATCAGCTTGTCTCTCAACCTTAAATAATCTATCAAAACTCTTACAAAAGAAGACTGGAATGAACTGTCAACATCCCTAACCCCTCTAAACTCCTCATATGAATCCCTCTGCGATTTGAGTACAGCATCAAGCCTTTTCTGCCACTTATTTCTCTATCTGTTCAATTTCTTGCTGATGCTCATTCTTTTGCCTGACCAAATCTTCCTCTGTATAGTATTCTAAACCCTTAATCACCCACTATACGATAACTACTCTGCACCCTCTCCTGACTCCTTACATCCACCTTATTCATCCTCGTCACAAACCCTCTGTTCTGAGATTTTCTTCCAAAGCCCATATTTTGATAATTCATAATAAATTTTTCAAATTTTAAAAAAATTTAAGGGGTTTTGGGGTTTTGGGGTTTTGGGGTTTTGGGG